ACCATTTCAAAGCTTTCCCTTCAAACAGGATATGTGCGTGTTCACACAAAAGTTGAAAATTACCTCGTAAATTGGCATAAGTAAGTGTGTCCACTCGGTATATAAATTCGTCAACCGAAATCTCTGAGATGTCTCCCGTGAACCGTACTTTCCAATTCCGAATTATGTTTAATGTCTTTTCCGTATTATTATCGTTATGTGTATTATTAGGTCTATAATTTTCTCGATCCAAAAGTCTATTTTGTGCAGAAGGTCGGTGATTTTCCATGTCATCGTTATCAACCCTTTCGTTCTGTCTGTCCTGTGTATTTTGTCGTAAACTTCCCAAAGATAAATTTCGAAAAGTTTCGGTAATCATGTTGCCTATTTCGTCTCTAAAATCCCTTAACGATTCATTAACCAGTTGTCGAACGCGATTATCAGCACTTCTCTGTTCACTTGCAGCTATACGAGCCTGTAAACGAGTTCTTGGCCTATTTAACCTACTTAAAGGTGTATCTGCGTCCCCACCAGCTCCCCAATTATCCCTATCAGCAGCTTCCTGCTCTACTTGAGCTGGAATATCGTTCGCACTACGTACTAGCGGCATTTTACAAAACTAATACCACACGTTTTGAAACTAATTACACAATCAAAAGAAAATCAAGTAACTAATAACGAAAACGAAAAGTAAAGATAAAGAAGATATTTCTTATTTCAGAAAACAAATTTAAAGTATTACTACTCAGTGAAGAATTTTAGTAGGGGTACTAATAAACAAAAAAAAAATAAATTAAATAAAACTAAAATATTAAAATTACAGAACATACCCATCAAGTCTATTTAATAAAATAAAAGAGAATAAAGTAACTCAATATTGTTGGAAAATATTCAACTAATGTCAAAATTGAGTATGGAAAAGAAAAAGGTTTTGATTAGCAAATGTAGGAAAGTAATCGATTAAAATCAATTACCGTAAATCCACACAAAAGATAACCAAAATAGAAAAATTTAAATTTCAAAGAAGTAGAGTAAGCCAGAAAAAACTAATTGAAGATCCAGAAATAAAGGAGATTTGGATTCGAACGACAATTGAACCGATACATAACCAGAGCAACAACTCAAGCATGAACCCAAACCCTGTGAACCAATGTACAATAAAAAGTAATCTATGGAATTGAAAATCGAAAAGTACAATAAACAATTATATCCTAGTTAACAAATTATTAAACAAAAGTAAAAGAAGATAGTAAAAGAAGAGAAAAGTAAAAGGTACAAGTTCATAGGTCCTCAGTATCTAGATAGAAATAAAGCACTAAATTTTAATAATACGAACACTGAGGCCCCACGTTGGGCGCCAATATCTCTGTAACGATTCTCTGAAGAGTTGTTCTCATATTTGGGAAATATAGCTACCTTTAATAACGGCTGTGCTCGTCGGAGGGGTGGATTAATAAATTAAATCCCAAAGAAATCATTGAACCGAATACAGTAGATTTAAAATTAGGTAGCAAATTAAATAAAAAAAAAAAAAAAAAAAAACTAAAAGAGAACGATCAATATATATAAAACAGAAGGTGAATTAGACTTGAATAAGTGAGGGTTATAGCTTGGGATGGAATTCGCTACAACATTTCTTTACCCTCCCACCATGCTGACAGAGAATTAAGGTCTATAGTCAGCCCTTAAATAAAAACGAAATAAATATTGTCTTATTACCCCATACCAAATACTTCACTTTTCGTAATTAATAATAAACTAATTTAAGCCATTATTTTCAATTCACAACATAAATTCTATCATATTTATTAAAAGTAGAAATCAAAACAATATTAAATATTAATTAAATGTTAAATTTACCAGTGATAAATTTCAGAAGTATAGGTCACAATTAATATTAAAAAAAACAAAATTTATTAAAGATAAGATTTTATGATTCTGTTATTTTGATTTAAATAAAGAACACTTAAAAAAAATATAAAGAGGAACAAAACATGTATGTAGTATGTAGGGTATTATTATTATGATGGCTCAAATGTAACATAATTTTAAATTAAATTTAGGTAATAAGTTTTATTTTGGAAAAGTTAAATATAAAATTAATATCAAATGTTAAATATTTAAATAATTATGTTACGTTTTACGTGTTATATATATATAGTGAAATAAATTGGTGAATTAATAATAAAGAAACATTTTAACTCACGTTATATAAGTCCATCGTTGTCAGCAGGCGCCCGATGACTGATGATTTGCTTAATTTTATGAGCTTTGTTTCAATCAAGAGATAAATGTAGGGTTTTAAATTCTTGGGTGCTTATAAGGATTATATTACTTAAGTAATATAATCCATACGCGCTGTTGTATTGTCTTTTTTTTTTTTTCTTTTTTTTTTTAAGTGTATAGTGTCATTTAAATGTAAATTTATGATTATAATTTCATATTTATAAGTCTTCTATATTAGTTTTCAGAAATTCAGATTATAAGGTGACCATACGAAGAAATTTAGTTAGTTAATTTAAACAATGAGAATAAAGAATATTTAAGAAATAATAAAATAATTAATAAAAAAAAAATTAGAAATTTAATAACTTAATAAAAATTGTCATAATAAAAAAAAATTTTTTTTTTTTCTTTTTTACTGCGGATTTAATGAAAAGCAATCAGATGGAAATACCAAAATCGGAATTAGATATTAATTAGTTCATCAAAATGTACAATTTATCGTCTGATTCGTCTATTAGTTTGATTTATTTAGGAAGAATGACCACCAACGAATTGTGGACAATAAAATTCAATTCCCGTATGCACCATATAAGTAAACAAAACTATGTATCTGGTCACCCTGATTCGACCAGAAATGTGTAATGATGTAACACTCTTGTTGTTCCTAACAATTTCAAAATTTTAAGCTTCTCTATGATTCTGACGAGTAATATATCTTTTTCAGCGTATTATATGTTCGTTCTTGATATTCATTAATCGGTTTCTGGTTCGTATTCGCCAATAAATTATATGAAAACCGTCAATCACATTCAGAACAAACGTTAGATCGTCTGCAATGTCTAGTTTTACAAATTTCCGTTCAAAATGTTCCTTAATATTTCCTTTTCTCCTATATTATTCAAACAATATTCTGGTTTTATTTTTCTCTCTCTAATAATCAACCGTCTCAACCAAAATTTATTTTTTTAAAATGAAAATTTTTGAAAACGTCATGAAAATTATCTAAAGCAATGTCAAGGCTAACTTTGTAAATTTTGAAACAATTTTCGAATTGTAATAAATAAACAAAAATAATACACCTAAAGAAAATATTAATGAACTATTAAAATATTCTATCCAATTTTCAAATTAAAACACAATTCAAATAAAATTGTCGCTACCACAGTACAACGATGAAGTACTCGTAATTTTCTCATGATGGCTTTATATATGAGGGTTAGGATCAATTGTGAACCGATCCTCATAAAATTTTGTAATTCAAAAATTCTTTTATATCAAAATTTATCGCTTTACTCGTTTTTTAAGCCAGTAATAAGCGCTAAAGTATATTTTTCAAGGGAACCTTATATGGGGGTAGGATCAATTATGGACCGATCCTAGATCCTAGATAGGGGGTAGGGTGAGTTACCGACCCATTCCGCATTAAATTCGGTAGAAAGATTACGTTTCTATAAAAGTTGCTTATGTCACATTTCTCCGCAATACTCGTATTTCTAAGTCAGTAATGAGCCTTTAAATCATTTTTGATAGGGACCTTATGTGGGGGGTAGGGTCAATTATGGACCGGTCACGATAAAATTTGGTAGAGAGATTTTGGCTCATATAAAACTTATTTATGTCGAATTTCATCGCTATATTAGTATTTTTAAGACGGTAATGAGTATTAATGTCATTTTCTGAAGGGGACCTTATATGGGGCTTAGGGTCAATTATGGACCGATCCTCATAAAATTTGGTAGAGAGATTTTGACGCATTTGAAACTATATTTTTAAAATGGGTATGACTGTTAAAGCTGTTTTTTGGGGGCCACTTGTATGGGGGCTATGCGAAATCGTTTACCGATATTGCCCATTTGCTGTACCAAACAAACCTTTCCTATAAGGAATATTTGTGTATTTTTAACTCTCTAGCTCTTTGTGTACGAAACCTATCGTGCTTTCAACAGACAGACGGACATCGCTAGATCGTCTTAGAATTTAATAAGGACCCAGAATATATATACTTTTGTGGGCCTTTTTGATGATGGGTATAAAAAAGTCCCATTTTATAGATTCTTACTTAACCCGGGTTCTTCATACTTAATTTCAAGTTTCTATGTCCAATATTATAGAAAATTCAAAAAGTACCCTTTGAAAAACGAAAAAGTACCAAAAAGTCCCCTTTTATGGGTTCTAACTTAAGCCAGGCTCAACATACCTAATTTCATGTTTCTAGCCAATAACAACACATTAGTGCTGCTCTTGCTCTGCTTTGCTTTTATAAACAAGTACAATAACAATATTTACCGTGTGGTTATGTGTTTTGTGTTTGTTTATTTGCAATTTCTGTCTGAGCATGAAAAAAAATCTAAATTTTTTATGAAATTTTCAGAGGTTATCTCGGATTTTTGCTCATATCTCCGTTATTTACGGACCGTTTTTTCTGATTTTAAATAGCGATCTTCCCAAAAGCATGTCTAACAGAATTATTGAAGATTCGGATCTTGCCGATATCTGGGGTCCTCTAAAAACTGATTTCAACAAACAGACAGACAGACAGATGGACATGGCTTAATCGACTCCGCTGTCTATAAGTATCCAGAATATATATATACTTTATAGGGTCGGAAAAGTATATTTTAGAAATTACAAACCGAATGACAAACTTATATAAACCCTTATCACGAAGGTGAATGGTATAAATAACATGAAATTGTGTATTAAGTATAAAAAAAAAATTATGAATAATTTGAAATAGTTATTAACGTGTCTAGTCACAATTGGCCCTTAAAATATTTCAAATAGATGTGCTTTTAAAAAATCATATATAACTAACGTCGAAATTGCGCCACATTCAATGACTTTCTGAAGTGTAAATTATTTCCTAATCTTTGAAATGTTTCATTTTACTAGTTGCATAATTTTATTATTGAGTCTATTATTCTGTGCCATGAGCGATGATGAAAAATCCAATTGTGTTAAACCTTGTCCTCTTGAGTTCAAGCCAATTTGTGCAACCATTGAAGGTGCAGAAGGCAAGCCGATAGGTTGTTCCTTTGAAAATGATTGTTTTTTGGAAATGTTTACGTGTGTGTATGGCAAAAAAGGTAAGTCGAATTATTTTTTATTTTCATCTGAAAAACATGTTTATTAAATTTTTAATTTTTTTTCTTTAAAGAAATTGAACAAAAGCCAGAAATTTGTCCAGATTTTCTACCTGAATGTAAAAATATTATAATGCGTGTAATGTCAGCTATAGAATTTGAATAAAGTATTTGCTGAAAATGTATACCTACGTTTCATAATTTATACGTTCTTTAATTTATATTAATTAGTAAGTTAGTTAGGTAGTTAGTTAGTTAGTCAGTTAGTTAGTTAGTTAGTTAGTAGTTAGTTAGTTAGTTAGTTAGTTAGTTAGTTAGTTAGTTAGTTAGTTAGTTAGTTAGTTAGTTAGTTAGTTAGTAGTTAGTTAGTAGTTAGTTAGTTAGTTAGTTAGTTAGTTAGTTAGTTAGTTAGTTAGTAGTTAGTTAGTTAGTTAGTTAGTTAGTTAGTTAGTTAGTTAGTTAGTTAGTTAGTTAGTTAGTTAGTTAGTTAGTTAGTTAGTTAGTTAGTTAGTTAGTTAGTTAGTTAGTTAGTTAGTTAGTTAGTAGTTAGTTAGTTAGTAGTTAGTTAGTTAGTTAGTTAGTTAGTTAGTTAGTTAGTTAGTTAGTTAGTTAGTTAGTTAGTTAGTTAGTAGTTAGTTAGTAGTTAGTTAGTAGTTAGTTAGTTAGTTAGTTAGTTAGTTAGTTAGTTAGTTAGTTAGTTAGTTAGTTAGTTAGTTAGTTAGTTAGTTAGTTAGTTAGTTAGTTAGTTAGTTAGTTAGTTAGTTAGTTAGTTAGTTAGTTAGTTAGTTAGTTAGTTAGTTAGTTAGTTAGTTAGTAGTTAGTTAGTAGTTAGTTAGTTAGTTAGTTAGTTAGTTAGTTAGTTAGTTAGTTAGTTAGTTAGTTAGTTAGTTAGTTAGTTAGTTAGTTAGTTAGTTAGTTAGTTAGTTAGTTAGTTAGTTAGTAGTTAGTTAGTTAGTTAGTTAGTTAGTTAGTTAGTTAGTTAGTAGTTAGTTAGTTAGTTAGTTAGTTAGTTAGTTAGTTAGTTAGTTAGTTAGTTAGTTAGTTAGTTAGTTAGTTAGTTAGTTAGTTAGTTAGTTAGTTAGTTAGTTAGTTAGTTAGTTAGTTAGTTAGTTAGTTAGTTAGTTAGTTAGTTAGTTAGTTAGTTAGTTAGTTAGTTAGTTAGTTAGTAGTTAGTTAGTTAGTTAGTTAGTTAGTTAGTAGTTAGTTAGTTAGTTAGTTAGTTAGTTAGTTAGTTAGTTAGTTAGTTAGTTAGTTAGTTAGTTAGTTAGTTAGTTAGTTAGTTAGTTAGTAGTTAGTTAGTTAGTAGTTAGTTAGTTAGTTAGTTAGTTAGTTAGTTAGTTAGTTAGTTAGTAGTAGTTAGTTAGTTAGTTAGTAGTTAGTTAGTTAGTTAGTTAGTTAGTTAGTTAGTTAGTTAGTTAGTTAGTTAGTAGTAGTTAGTTAGTTAGTTAGTTAGTTAGTTAGTTAGTTAGTTAGTAGTTAGTTAGTAGTTAGTTAGTTAGTTAGTAGTTAGTTAGTTAGTTAGTTAGTTAGTTAGTTAGTTAGTTAGTTAGTCAGTTAGTTAGTTAGTTAGTTAGTTAGTTAGTTAGTTAGTTAGTTAGTTAGTTAGTTAGTTACAACTTTTTTTCGTCTACTCTACTCAAAAAAGTGAATGGTATAATTGAATCTAATATGACAATAAAATTAAACTAGTTATTATCGTAATGGGCGATATCTCGCATATTTTCAAATTTTGGTAATTAGTATTGTAGGTAATGTAGTTATTTCACATATTACTTGGTAATGAGAGGTCTTTATTAATAAAATTATTTAATTTTTTTGGGCAGGATTTGTTGCCATATATATAGAGCGTATGTCTAATAAGGAACTGGTTAATGGTTTTAAGCCTAGTCTATATTAGAAGAATTTTGAAGAAATATTGATTTGTATCTTCATGTAAAAACTATTCCAAATAGCACGATAAAGCAATTTGTTAATGGGGCATTGGGTAATAGAATATACTAATAAACACAGGAAATAACTGTAAGGTCGGTTTTAAATCCGGAAAAGTCGGGTAAGCACATTTGTAACCAGTTATTTTTTGGTCATCGTCAAACAAAATAAGTAGTTATTCACCCAAAAAGGAAGTACTTACACTTTGCTCCAATATTACTTGCCTACTTACCGGGTAAGTAAAGATTTAGCTGGGAATGCTAAAAATTTGCTGTATTAAAACATTAATAGTACCGAAATACATGTTTAGTCTTAATATTTTATTAAAATATTGCCTCATTAATAAAATAATTAATATAAATTTGTTTACAAAAAAATCACTTAAATATCGACTAAAGTATCATATATTGAACGTCTTCTGAAATTGTCTTTTCGAAGTGTTAATAATTTCCTAAACTTAAAAATGAATTTTTCTGTTACTTTCTTTACCTCTTTATTGGGTTTATACTTCCGTGAAATGACTGATGATAAATCCAACTGCTTAAAAGAGTGTTCTCTTGAAGTCAAGCCAATTTGTGCAACCATTGAAAATTTTATAGGCGAACCGCTGGATTGTACCTTTCCAAGTGATTGTTATTTGGAAGTTTTCACGTGTTTGAGTGGCAAAACAGGTAAATGTAAGAATGTTTTTATAAATTTGATAAATATTATTGGTTGTTATTGTGTTTTTAAGAATCGCAACAAAAGCCAGATTTTTGTGACTCTCATTCCATTGAATGTACGGATATTGTCTCGAGTGTATTTTCAACTTCGAATTATAATATTGAATAAAGTTTATTTGATGAAAATATACATTAAATTTTATATATGTAATCGTGGTTATAGTTTATTCTATAGTATCACCGAAAAAACTTTCGTTACTAAGTAAGCATTCTATGCTATTGGAGTCAATTATTCCCCATAATCGCTTACTTGTAATTAGAAAAATTTGTCAATGTTAATCGTAAGAAAAGAGAAAAGAGCCTCACAAAGAAGTTGACTAATGAATTAGAAAGTATTTATATAACACATTACTAATAAGGCCTTATTATACTACTTACATGTAATCAGGACGATATGTAGTAGTTATTAAAAAGTATGTTAATAGTTACAATTGAAACACATTACCAAGTTTTTGCAGGAATATTTTGGCTACTTACTTAACAACTTACTTTTCAATAACAATTACACACGGTCAGAATTACATGTAAGGAGCATAGTAATGACTTGCTTTTAATCTGATATATTAGTACCTCTTAGCGGTTTTGACATTTTATTTGCGCATTTTATTTGATCGCCACTCACTTCAATCTCATTTCACATCACATCTATCCAAATTGTACTTGCGGATTCAGACGAATGTAGAGCATGCGGAGAGGACAGTGAAACTCTGGAGCACTTTAATCGTAATTTAACTATTTTATTTATAATTAAGTTTTTTGCTAACATGTTCTGAAATCAAGTACGAATCGTTGTCAAATCAAGCTCATATTGGTATTAATTTAATCTTTAACATTTCTTTATCAAACTTATATTTATTTCAAATGCGACGGAAAATTCTCTAAATAAGTTAACTGCAAGATCACTTGGATTTTTCTGCTTGATGGATCCATACTTGAATCAAGTATTTTGTAGTTAGTTTAGGAATAGAACAGTATTGTGTCATAAGAAAACTAAGTCCTTATTTTTATACTAAATCATTTGAGAAATCTTTCTGTCCATGACCCATTCAAAAATTATATTTAGTTTAAGAAACTCACGAAATGAATTTTACAATTCATTGAATTCAGAAAGGATTCATAAAAATTTGCTTTATAAAAACTTCAATAGTACCGAAATACATGTTTAGTCATAATATTTTATTCAAATATTCCCTCATTAATAAAATTTTGAATATATATTTTTAACAAAAAATCACATAAATATCGACGAAAATAGCATATATTCAAAGTATTCTGAAATTGTCTTTTCGAAGTGTAAACTCTTACCTAATCTTAAAAATGAATTTTTCTATAAGTTTCATAATCTTATTATTGGGTCTATTTTTCTATGTCATGGGCGATGATGACGAATCCAACTGCTTAAAAGAGTGTCCTCTCGACGTCAAGCCAATTTGTGCAACCATTGAAAATTCTAAAGGAGAACCGGTGGATTGTTCATTTCTGACAGAATGTTCTTTGGAAATATTTACGTGTCTGAGTGGCAAAAAAGGTAGACAATTTTATTTCTGAATTTTATAAATATTTTTTACTTATTGGTTGGTGTTTTCATTTTCTAAGAATCGCAACGAAAGCCAGATTTGTGTGAATCCTATCCTGTTGAATGTTCAGATATTATCACGAACGTATTGTCAGGTTAGAAATATGGAAGACATATGTATAGTGGTGGTTAAAACATTTGGAACTGAGACAACATTTCACATTTTTCTTAATTTATTTTTAAACTGATTTAAAAAAATTACTATAAATTTGAATATTATCTTCAATATCTATATATATATAAAAATGAAAGTGTGTTTGTATGTATGTATGTTTGTTTGTTTGTGCTTTATAGACTGCTAAACGGCTGGACCGATTTTCCTGAAATTTTCACAGTTTCTTCCTGTATGTCTGGAAGGAACTATAGGCTACTTTTTGTGTTGAAATTTCATGTGGGCGACGTGTCACGCCCATATTAAGAAAATATTAAATTAGTATATCTGAGATAATATAATAGTTAGAGTCTTCAAATTTTGTCGGAGCAACTTTAGTATCAATATAATTATTTAAGACAAAAAGTGGGCGGATTAGCATTAGGGGGCGTGGCACCTCCCATATAAATTAAATACAAAAATTCGTTTATCTTGGAAACTATTATAGTTGGAATATTAAAAATTTCCACGAGTAACTTTAACTATCCATGAGGGGAGCAGCACCTCCCATATTAATAAAATACAAAAATTGGTTTATTTGGGAAACTAATAGAACTAAATTCTTCAAATTTTGCACTAAGAACTTAAATATTCATCTAAACATTTTGGAGAAAAAAGAGCGGACTTTCGTCATGGGGAGCTTGGAGCCCCCATATAAATTAAATAGGAAAATTATTATATCTGAGAAACTATTAGATCTACAATCTTCAAATATTAATTGAAGAACTTTGACATTAATGTGAACATTTAGAGAATAACGGGCTGACTTTCAGTGGGGTCTTGGTACCCCCTATATGAATTAAATACAAAATTTCGTATATCTAGGAAAATATTAGATTTTTTTTTTAATTTGTCATCGATTACATTAAAATCTTAATTAACGTTCGGAAAAAATGTATCTCTGGAAAACATTACAGTTAGAATCTTCAAAATTATTAAGAAGATTTTTTATTTATATTGCTTTTAGGGTAGCAAAGCACACTGGGTATAGCTAGTTATTTATAAACATAAAAAGTTTAATAAGTTTCTCTCCAAATAAATTAAAAAAATTGAATTAAATTTATAAATTCCTACATGAGATTCTTGAAAAGGCTGTTCCTCGGGACACTCTAATAAAGGTTTATAGAACAAAATTTGTATGAAAATTTGTCTTATAAACCTTTGGTAAATTGTTATGAATAAGTTATAGGCCCTATTTTGTTGATTTTTTTTTTTCAAATCATATTCACAAAAAAATATTTTTAATTTTAATAAAATTTAAATAGTAGTTATACAAAGTACATGTCTAATCATAATAGTTTCTTAATTTATCCATTACTAAAATTTCGTATAAATTAGAACGAAAATGTCTAATATTATATTACTTTTAAAAATCGTTTTTTAAAACTGTAAACTATATCTCGTTCTTTATAATGTACATCACTACTTTTTGGATAATTTTATTATTGGGTAATTTTCTCTGTGTCATGAGCACTTGTAAGGCGGATTGTGACGAAACTGAAAAGCAAGTTTGTGGAACCATTAAAAATCATTTTGGTAAAATTATAAAATGTACTTTCTTTAATGAATGCCTTTTGGAATATCACACGTGTCAAACTGATCAAGGTAAATAAGAAAATTATATAAATATATTGAAATATTTTTAATTGATTTATTTTTTTCATTAAGAATTAATTAAAGAAGATGGACGCTGTAATGAAGATTATGTAGAATGTGCCAAATTATAATTATAACAATAATTTTCAAACAAAATATACTTATTATTTATTTATTTATTTTCACTGAAAATAACACATGCTAAACTTTACGAAAGAGAAATCATTACTACTTTTTCGTAATATTTATGAAAATTTCTTGTATAATACGAAATATTATGTACTCAAAACGTTTTCTAATTTTACGAAATTATGAAAACCTTTTGTAATATCTATTTTGTAATTAAAAGAAATTAAACATAATAACAATTTCATTATAATTAAATAAAACTATAACATTTTTTAAAAAATTTAAAATAATATTTTGTTAAAAAAAAATTACAACTTTGACCCCCTCTAAGTTCAGCAGTTCTTGACCAATAGAGCTGAAATCGTCAAAATCGATTTTTTGAGTTGGATGTTACATGAGGGGGAGGGTCAATTATGTACCGATCCTCAGAGAATTTTATACTGATTCTTTAGTTCTGAAAAAAACATATTTTACGGAATTTCACTTTTTATTTAATGTCAGTAAAATGAGTCGCAAAGTCATTTTCTGAAGGGCACCTGCTATTTGGGATTGGGCCAATCATAGAGTGATCCTCATAACATTTGGTAGAAAGAAGTTGATTCGTATTTCATGTATTTCTAAACCAATTATAAACTTTAAAGTAATTTTCTGAAAAGGTAGATGAGAAGAAACACATGTTTTGCAAAGATGTGAAACTTTGACCCAATCTAAACTACTATCCAATAGGACGAACATTGGTGCAAATCACAAAAAAATCGCAAAAACTCAAAATCGTGGAACATCCAATATATTAAACGTAACATAATTTCTGATATAACAATTTCTAGTAAATTAAAAAGCTAAATTAAAATTAACTGGAACGAATCAGACGTTCATATTTTTATACCCCACACTACTATAGTGGGGAGGGTATTATATGTTTGTGCTTATGTTTGTAACACACAAAAATATTGGTCACACACCCACCTTAAAGTATACCGATCGACTCAGAATCACTGAGTCGATTAAGACAGGTCCGTCCGTCTGTCCGACTGCGCAAGCTACGGGCCACAATTTTCAAAATATGTAAAAAATTTATATAATAAAATTTGGACCATATAAATCGGTCCATTATTTCACCTAGCCCCCTTACAACCTGACCTTCCGATTTCGGGTTTTTAACTTATAACTACGTCAAATATACTACTATCTCTCCAAAAATTGGCACAACTAAGTTTTATAAAGACATAAATGACCATGCCGATTTTTATAATGATCGGCCCCCATACAAACCCCCCTCTAAAAATAACTTAAACGTCCAAAAATTGACTTATATACTAATGGTTATAAGTAAATTTTTGGACTTATAACTGAAATTCAGCATAACTAACCTTTATAAAAAAATACATCCCTCCTTCCAATTTGTTGAGAATCGGCCCATATTTGACCTTAACTCCCATATAAAGCCTCTTTTAGAAATTTAGTTTTGTTTATCAATAAATTGCTTAAATACATCGGAATTAAGATAAAATTCAACATAAAAGTTTCTTTATGAAAAATAAATAATTTTTAAAATATACTCATGGTGTAGAGTATCATATAGTTGGCCATGCCCGACTATACTTTCCTACTTGTTGTTTTTTACGTTTGTAAAAACAAGTAATAACAAGTAAATTCGGGAGTGACCGACGATATCATACCCTACACCGTTTATGTATATTAATTGTGAATTATTTTTCATAATAAAGCATTTATGTTAAATTTTACATTGGTTCCGCTTTATTTAAGAGAATTTATTGACGAAAACCTAATTTTCTGAAAAATTCTTAATATGGATCGAAAAATTTTTAATCGCGATATTATTTAATTAATTTTCTGAAGGGGACTTGGTGTGGGGATTAGGCTCTATCATTTCACTATTCATCATGATCATCAAGGCTGGAATAAACATTTATTGTGCCGCCTTTTGTCTAGAAAAAAGCATATTCAACATAATTATGTGCTTAAAAACCCTATTCGGGGAGTTCAGTACTAGGTAAAAAATGGACCGATTTTAATCATTTTAAAAAATTTTCATTAATTTATCTTGAAAATTGCGCTCTTATTATATTAAAGAATATTGCTCAACATTTGAGAAAGATTGGTACAACATTTTTAACCAATCAAGTGTAAATAAACTTACGTACTCAAACTCATTATATTCAAAGAACGATTCATAAAAAATTGCCATATAAAAATGAAATAGTACAGAAATACATGTTTGGTCATAATAATTTGTTAAGATATTCACTTAATAAAATAGTATTAAAGATTTCTTTCCAAAAAAAATCTTCTAAATAACGAATAAAGTGCTTCGTATTCAATAGCTTCTGAAATTGTCTTTCTGAAGGGTTAACTAGTTCCTAACCTTTAAAATGCATTTACCTATTCGTTGCTTAATTTTATTATGGAATCTATTCTTCTGTGTTATGGGTGATGACTGCAAAAAAGAGTGTCCTCTTGATTACAAACCAATTTGTGCAACTGTTGAAAATTCTGAAGGCCAACCGATAGTTTGTACATTTCCAAATGATTGTTCTTTGGAAATTCACACATGTATGAGTGGCAAAGAAGGTAAGTGGAAAAACTAATATTTGTTAAATAGTTTCATTTATTTATTTGGTGTTTTTTTCAAAGCTTCGGATCAAAAAGAGGACTTTTGTGAAGATCAGGATTTTGAGTGTACTGATATAATCTTGAGAACCTTTAAAAGATAAAATTATAAAGTTTATATATATGTTTATATTATATATGTATTTTTTTTTAATAAAGTAAGTTTTTATGGTTGTATCTTTAATTATTTATAAGCAATCTCGACTATACACAGATGGGAAAAAAATATACACGCCTGGTACCAAATTGACATCAAATTGTTCAATAACATCCGTTGTCAAGTATATACAAGAACATCTAATGTTGACCACGCAATGTTGTCAACATTGCAACAATTCGTTGTCCCAATCTAAATTTTAGGCACATCCGTTGTCTAAAAGTTAACAAACGTGGAAAGTCACTATTGACAACGGATTTTGAGCTTACCACGGTTGTTTACTTCTAAACAACGGATGTGCATAAAATTTAGATTGCGACAACGAATTGTTGCAATGTTGACAACGATGCTTGGTCAACATTACATGTTGTTGTTGTATGTATATATATACTTGACAACAGATGTTATTGAAAAATGTGATGTTAATTTGGTACCAGGCGTGTATATTTATTTTTTCCCTCTGTGTAGATAATTCTATATTGATATCAGAATTTCTTCATCACATCAGGTATTAGAGGTTTAATCTCTGCCATATTTTCTTCGTTCTTCTTAAGGGCTTGAAACAGCCCTTAATTGAAAAATACTGAACTTTTACTTTATATTGCATTTATTTTATGAACAAATTATTATCTGAGGCTCAACGCCCTTTTTTAGACCCGGCCCAACAAGTCAAGGCTAGTCATTGGGACTTCAGTCCATTTGTGGTCTGTTATAAGTAGTTACAACATCTCAAGAAACCATTTGTTTCCTTCGCATTTCCGAAAATATTACTATTCCATCGGATGTCATTTTGTATTCTTGACCCCAAAATTAATGTTGACTTCATCCATGCAGAGGTTTGGTAAAAGTGGAGTCCCAAGTCGTGTGTGAGTCAATAGACAACCTTAAGGGCATTGATATTGTGGCTGTTTACTCCAAGGGTTTGTCGTCATCAGTTCGCGTTTTAACAAGTTATCCCTATTAAATCTTGTAGTCTGCGAAATAATAGACTGGATTAGAGGTGATAGATAAAAATACGTTCATGAAAATTAAAATTGGAGAGGAAACGAACTCGGTTATAATAAACTCTCGGTTATTACGAACTTTTTTTCAAGTCCCCACATTTTGGTAACTATTTTCATATAAAAAACATCTCTTATAACGAATTCGGTTATAACGCATCCTCGGATAAAATGAACTTCTTCTTCAGTCCCTCAAATAAAATTTCCTACAATTTTCTTTATAATGAACGAACTGGTCTGACTGGTCCCACGTAGTTCGTTATAAAGTGTTTTAACTGTACTTATTAACAAAATACATGTTTAGTCATAATATTTTGCTAAACTATTTCCTCATTAATAAAATATTTAATACAAATTTGTTTCTTAAAAAAAATCTTATAAATAACTAAAAAATTGCTTGGTTCGGCTTCTATAACTGTCCCAGTTTTCTAAAATGCATTTAGCTACTAGTTGTATAATTTTATTATTGGGTCTATACTTTTGTGTCATGGGTGATGATGACACATCCCACTGTTTAAAACCTTGTCCTCTTGAGTTCAATCCAATTTGTGCAACTATTGAAAATTCTGAAGGAAAACCGTTAGAGTGTACCTTTCCAAATGCTTGTTCTTTGGAAATTTACACGTGTTTGAGTGGTAAATTACGTAAGTGGAACATTTTTTGCATAATTTGAGAAAAATATTTTTATAAATTTATTTTTTTTCAGCAACCGAAGTAAAGCCGCAAATTTGTGAGGATTATCGTCTTGAATGTACTAAAATTGTAGCGAGTACTTTGTTAGGGTAGAATTATAAAGTTTATGCTTATAATAAATATATAAAAAAGTGTGAGTTAGGCTGAAAATTTTGACATTTAAATGTAGGAATCGATCAATTGTTAATAGCATATACGATTTTATATAATTAAAATCTATCGTCAAACTTATCCAAGTGAAACACATAAGGTCATTTTTGAATATTGTATATCGCATTTCAAAAAAATACGTACGTAACATTTGATTTAAAGAAATACCTACATATCTGAACTCCTTTGGAAAGTTCTAGTTCAGTTCTAGTTCATTTTTAGTTCTAGTTCAGTTCTAGTTCAGTTCAGTTTCTAGTTCAGTTCTAGTTCAGTTCTAGTTCAGTTCTAGTTCAGTTCTAGTTCAGTTCTAGTTCAGTTCTAGTTCAGTTCTAGTTCAGTTCTAGTTCAGTTCTAGTTCAGTTTAGTCTAGTTCAGTTCTAGTTCAGTTCTCGTTTCAGTTCTAGTCAGTTCTAGTTCCGTTTAGTTCATTTCTAGTTCAGTTCTAGTTCAGTTCTAGTTCAGTTCTAGTCAGTTCTAGTTCAGTTCTAGTTTCAGTTCTAGTCAGTTCTAGTTCAGTTCTAGTTTTCTAGTTCAGTTCTAGTTCAGTTCTGTTCGTTCAGTTCTAGTTCAGTTCTAGTTCAGTTCTAGTTCAGTTCAGTTCTAGTTCAGTTCTAGTTCAGTTCTAGTTCAGTTCGTTCAGTTCTAGTTCAGTTCTAGTCAGTTCTAGTTCAGTTCTAGTTCAGTTTCTAGTTCAGTTCTAGTTCAGTTCTAGTTCAGTTCAGTTCTAGTTCAGTTCTAGTTCAGTTCTAGTTCAGTTCTAGTTCAGTTCTAGTTCAGTTCTAGTTCAGTTCTAGTTCAGTTCTAGTTCAGTTCTAGTTCAGTTCTAGTTCAGTTCTAGTTCAGTTCTAGTTCAGTTCTAGTTCAGTTCTAGTTCAGTTCTAGTTCAGTTCTAGTTCAGTTCTAGTTCAGTTCTAGTTCAGTTCTAGTTCAGTTCTAGTTCAGTTCTAGTTCAGTTCTAGTTCAGTTCTAGTTCAGTTCAGTTCTAGTTCAGTTCTAGTTCAGTTCTATTTCAGTTCTAGTTCAGTTCTAGTTCAGTTCTAGTTCAGTTCTAGTTCAGTTCTAGTTCAGTTCTAGTTCAGTTCTAGTTCAGTTCTAGTTCAGTTCTAGTTCAGTTCTAGTTCAGTTCTAGTTCAGTTCTAGTTCAGTTCTAGTTCAGTTCTAGTTCAGTTCTAGTTCAGTTCTAGTTCAGTTCTAGTTCAGTTCTAGTTCAGTTCTAGTTCAGTTTTAGTTCTAGATCAGTTCTAGTTCAGTTCTAGTTCAGTTCTAGTTCGGTTCTAGTTCAGTTCTAGTTCAGTTCTAGTTCAGTTTGTTCAGTTCTAGTTCAGTTCTAGTTCAGTTCTAGTTCAGTTCTAGTTCAGTTCTAGTTCAGTTTTAGTTCTAGATCAGTTTTAGTTAGTTCAGTAGTTCAGTTCTAGTTCAGTTCTAGTTCAGTTCTAGTTCAGTTCTATTTCAGTTCTAGTTCAGTTCTATTTCAGTTCTAGTTCAGTTCTAGTTCAGTTCTAGTTTCAGTTCTAGTTCAGTTCTAGTTCAGTTCTAGTTCAGTTCTAGTTCAGTTCTAGTTCAGTTCTAGTTCAGTTCTAGTTCAGTTCTAGTTCAGTTTTAGTTCAGTTCTAGTTCAGTTCTAGTTCAGTTCTAGTTCAGTTCTAGTTCAGTTCTAGTTCAGTTCTAGTTCAGTTCTAGTTCAGTTCTAGTTCAGTTCTAGTTCAGTTCTAGTTCTAGTTCAGTTCTAGTTCAGTTATAGTTTCAGTTCTAGTTCAGTCTAGTTCAGTTCTAGTTCAGTTCTAGTTCAGTTTCTAGTTCAGTTCTAGTTCAGTTCTAGTTCAGTTCTAGTTCAGTTCTAGTCAGTTCTAAGGTTCAGTTCTAGTTCAGTTCTAGTTCAGTTCTAGTTCAGTTATAGTTCAGTTCTAGTTCAGTTCTAGTTCAGTTCTAGTTCAGTTCTAGTTCAGTTCTAGTTCAGTTCTAGTTCAGTTCTAGTTCAGTTCTAGTTCAGTTCTAGGTCAGTTCTAGTTCAGTTCTAGTTCAGTTCTAGTTCAGTTCTAGTTCAGTTACTAGTTCAGTTCTAGTTCAGTTCTAGTTCAGTTCTAGGTTCAGTTCTAGTTCAGTTCTAGTTCAGTTCTAGTTCAGTTCTAGTTCAGTTCTAGTTCAGTTCTAGTTCAGTCTCAGTTCAGTTTCTAGTTCAGTTCTAGTTCAGTTCTAGTTCAGTTCTAGTTCAGTTCTAGTTCAGTTCTAGTTCAGTTCTAGTTCAGTTTTAGTTCAGTTCTAGTTCAGTTCTAGTTCAGTTCTAGTCAGTTCTAGTTCAGTTCTAGTTCAGTTCTAGTTCAGTTCTAGTTCAGTTCTAGTTCAGTTCTAGTTCAGTTCTAGTTCAGTTCTAGTTCAGTTCTAGTTCAGTTCTAGTTCAGTTCTAGTCAGTTCTAGTTCTGTTGTAGTTCAGTTCTAGTTCAGTTCTAGTTCAGTTCTAGTTCAGTTCTAGTCCTGGAAAATATGAGTGGTGTTTGTTGAATAATTTGTATTTCGAATACAAATGTATCGATGTGAATCAGTTTATAACTTTTTACGTCTAACAGAGATGCCAAACTGGGTCTTCTTCGACTTCTTTAATAAAAAAGCACTTATGAAACAGTCGTGGGATAAAATAAGTTTTATGTTTATCTTATATATTAGATTATACTCAACTCTATAATTGTAGTCTATCTTATTGTCTTTACTTTAGTCTGTTTAATAGTCTAAATTAATTAAATATACTACAATTATTGATTAAAGTTTATTGTTTAGTTTTGAATATAGTAGTCACAATAGTCTATAGTTAAGGCGTTATTCTGTGCTAAGACTATGGTTAATTATATTCTACTTCGAGTATGGTCTATACTTCTATAGGATCTATTCTATTATTAGTATATATACTATACATAGATATGCATATTCTTTTCTATATATTTTTGATATAGTCTACTTTACAATTTTACATAACAACATTTTTTGCGCAAAGGAAAAATTCTTATTAAGTATTCTATATTGTGAGCAAAATTTTGCAATGCAATTTTAAAAGAAAGTGATAAAAATATTTATTATATACATTTTATTTAAATAAAATGTAAATAGAATTTTCTTCATTAATAAAACATTTAAATAAATTTTATTACAAAAATTTCATTATAAATAACAACGAGACTGCTTAATACTGAATTACTTAAAAACTTCAAGTAGTAACTATTTCTCGTTCTTTGACATGCACATCTCCACCGTTTGGATAATTTTATTATTGAGTCAATTTCTGTGTACAATGGGCGATGAAATAGATTGCCTAACTGATTGTCCGCTTGTTTTGGAGGCGGTTTGTGGAACCGTTGAAAATCTTGATGGCGATACATTAGAATGTACTTTTATAAATGATTGTGAGTTGGAAAAGTTCACATGTATAACAAATCAAGGTAATTTGTAAAATTATTTATATTTACTGATTTCTTAATTGATTTATTTTCTTAATAAAGAATTGGTGAAAAAGGATGGTCCTTGCGATGCGGATTCTCTGGGATGTTCCGAGCTGCCTATTGATTTATGAAAAAAAATCATAATTATTGTGAATATACATTTATATTTAAATAATATGTAAAAATAGAAATAAAAACTTATACAAAAATGTATACAGTTGTAAAAATTTTAAAAGAATTCAGAACTTAACAAAAATTATCTGTCAAATTAAAAAATAAGATTTTGAATTCATTACATTCACAAAAATATTTATAGAATTTTTTATATTAAAACTTAAATACTTAGTACCGTTATAGTACATGTTTAGTTATAAAGTTTTCCATTATGTGGAAGATTTCTAGATGAGTAATCCCAATTTTTGGGACCCAAACTAAGTTTTCTTTGAGTCAAAATAGTTATGAAAAAATCGACTTGAAAAATAACTGGTATTATCGCGGGCTTCAATCCAAATTTTTTATAATTCCCTTCAAAGATACTAAGACGATCTAGCTTTTTGCGTCAGACTGTCTGTATATCTGTCTTTCTGCCTATTCAAGATACTATAGGCCTCAAACGAAGGGATGTAGACTGCAGCTAAGAGTAAGTTGATGCAGGTTTTTTCTATTGAAAATGGTCAATGGATTTAAATATTTCGAAGAAGGGGTTAACACTTTTTTAATGGTGAGCAATTGACTATGATATAACAAATTTTATAAATAAACGTGTTCGAAATGATTGAAAAATTATAAGGTCCGACTCGGATACAGTGCGCTTAATCCTTTAGAAAAGTGCCTTCTTGGTTAAACATTTGTTGGCCTGTGTATTCTACAATCATGTTTAGTTTCGACTATAGTCTATTATATTGACTATAGCCTGATTATAGTCTCGACTATTGTTGTGTATTCTATAGTTTTAAATTCTGATATAAGTAGCATATTCTTTAACAGTATAATATGTTCGTTTATTCTCTACCCTACACTCGATCATTTAGTTCATACTATAGTTCATATATGTTCTCGACACAGCTGGAACTACAATCTACTCTATAAATATTATCGATTTACAGATTCCAAATTTTTAAATTTATGTGTAAAATTGTCACATGAGATATTCTTGACAAAATTCATATCTCAATTTGTAATTCAGAATATGTATGTATTTATCATATTAAAAACAAGTAAGAAATTATAGTCGGGCGTGGCCGACCATATGATACCCTACACCAATTGCGAATAGTAGTATATTTGACAAAGTTATGAGCTAAAAGTCCCAAAAGGTCCGGTTATATGGGGGCTAGGGTAAAACTTGGTCCGATCCTTATGAAATTTATTGTTGGGAATTATGTTTATATAAAACTCATTTGTGCCAAATTTCATCGTGATACTAGTGTTTATAAGTGAATTCAAGTCATTTTCTGAGGGGGACTTTGTATGATAATGCCCGATCTTTACGAAAATCATTAGAATTATTAAGACATATATAATACTAAATTTTTCCAATTTTTGTAGAGATAGTAGATCATTTAACATAATTATGAGGTCAAAAGCCCTATTCGGGGGGTCGGTTGTATGGGGGCTAGGTGAAACAATAGACCGATTTCAACCATTTTCAATAGCGTTCGTCCTTGGACCAAGAGAAGTGCATGTTCCAAATTTCATCAAATTATCTCAAAAATTGCGACCTGTAGAGTGCACAGAAGGTTTACATGGATACACAGACAGACAGACGGACGGACGGACGGACAGACGGACATAGCTTAATCGACTCAGGAAGTGATTCTGAGCCGATTGGTATACTTTAAGGTATACCCCACTATAGTGGTGTAGGGTATAAAAATATATACATATATATTGAATGACTGCATAGTATAGAAAGTACATGTCTAATTATAATTGTTTGTTAATTTTTTCCATTAATAAAACATGGAAATGAATTTCCTACTACAATTTTTTACTAAAATTTCCTATAAATAACAACGAAACTGACTAATAGTGAATTACTTTTAAAATTAACTCTTTAATCAGTAAACTATATCTCGTTTTTCATAATGTACATCACAACTTTTGGTATAATTTTATTATTGAGTAATTACCAATGTATCATGGGTGATTGCCCAACAATTTGTCCCCGTATACTTGAGCCAGTTTGTGGAGAGGTTAAAAATGCTGATGGCGAAACTTTGACATGTACATTCGAAAATAAATGTGAGTTAGAAAAGTTCACTTGTAATGCAAATCAAGGTAAAAGAAAATAATATATACATGAATATTTAATATTTTTTAATTGATTTATTTTTCAATAAAGACATGGTAGTTACTCAGGAAGATCCTTGTGAAACAGAATCTGAAGGATGTTACGACATTATTTTTGAATAAAAAGAATTCATAGTTTTTGTGAATATATAAAATCTAAAAAATCAGCAAAGTTATATGCAAAAATGTATAAATGTAGTGGTAAAATATATGTATACTTGAATTCATAGTTCGAAAAAACTTGTCTTATTTTCTACACAAGAAATGCCCAATCCTAATACGAACCTGGACAAAATATGTATCTCACACAGAAATAATTTATTAATATGAAAACAATTACGTACGTATTAGTATTATTATATGTAAGATAAAAGTCTCGTGCATATCGGTGCCAAATAGGTTTTCTCCGACTGAGCTTTGAGGCAATTTTTTCAAAACCAAATTAACATTTAAAACTCTTTTCATTGGATATACATAAATAAGGCAACCAGCGGCTATTTAAATCCAAAATTTTAATTGGTCAATTAGTTTTGATGACATAAAAGATTAAAAATTTTGGTGGGTTCTAGACTAGACTATAGACTAGACTATAGACTAGACTATAGACTTGACTATAGACTAGACTATAGACTATACTATAGACTAGACTATAGACTAGACTATAGACTAGACTATAGACTAGACTATAGACTAGACTATAGACTAGACTATAGACTAGACTATAGACTAGGACTATAGACTAGACTATAGACTAGACTATAGACTAGACTATAGACTAGACTATAGACTAGACTATAGACTAGACTATAGACTAGACTATAGACTAGACTATAGACTAGACTATAGGACTACTAGACTAGACAGACTAGACTATAGACTAGACTATAGACTAGACTATAGACTAGACTATAGACTAGACTATAGACTAGACTATAGACTAGACTATAGACCTAGACTATAGACTAGACTATAGACTAGACTATAGACTAGACTATAGACTAGACTATAGACTAGACTATAGACTAGACTATAGGACTTAGACATAGACTAGACTATAGACTAGACTATAGACTAGACTATAGACTAGACTATAGACTAGACTATAGACTAGACTATAGACTAGACTATAGACTAGACTATAGACTAGACTATAGACTAGACTATAGACTAGACTATAGACTAGACTATAGACTAGACTATAGGAGACTATAGACTAGACTATAGACTAGACTATAGACTAGACTATAGACTAGACTATAGACTAGACTATAGACTAGACTATAGACTAGACTATAGACTAGACTATAGACTAGACTATAGACTAGACTATAGACTAGACTATAGACTAGACTATAGACTAGACTATAGACTAGACTATAGACTAGACTATAGACTAGACTATAGACTAGACTATAGGCTAGACTATAGACTAGACTATAGACTAGACTATAGACTAGACTATAGGCTAGACTATAGACTAGACTATAGACTAGACTATAGGCTAGACTATAGACTAGACTAGACTAGACTAGACTAGACTAGACTAGACTATAGACTAGACTATAGACTAGACTATAGACTAGACTATAGACTACTATAGACTAGACTATAGACTAGACTATAGACTAGACTATAGACTAGACTATAGACTAGACTATAGACTAGACTATAGACTAGACTATAGACTAGACTATAGACTAGACTATAGACTAGACTATAGACTAGACTACTAGACTAGACTATAGACTAGAAGATAGACTGACTATAGATAGACTATAGACTAGACTACTAGACTAGACTATAGACTAGACTATAGACTAGACTATAGACTAGACTATAGACTAGACTATAGACTAGACTCTAGACTAGCTATAGACTAGACTATAGACTAGACTATAGCTAGACTATAGACTAGGACTATAGACTAGACTATAGACTAGACTATAGACTAGACTATAGACTAGACTATAGACTAGACTATAGGACTAGACTATAGACTAGAACTAGACTTAGACTATAGGCTAGACTATAGACTAGATAGACTATAGACTAGACTATAGACTAGGACTAGACTAGACTAGACTATAGACTAGACTATAGACTAGACTATAGACTAGAATATAGACTAGAATAAGACTAGACTATAGACTGACTATAGACTAGACTATAGATAGACTATAGACTAGACTATAGACTAGACTATAGACTAGACCTATAGACTAGACTATAGACTAGACTATAGACTAGACTATAGACTAGACTAGACTATAGACTAGACTAGACTATAGACTAGACTATAGACTAGACTATAGACTAGACTATAGACTAGACTATAGACTAGACTAGACTAGACTATAGACTAGACTAGACTAGACTATAGACTAGACTATAGACTAGACTATAGACTAGACTAGACTATTCATTTACAATGGTATCACTAGTATAAGATAAATTTCATCCATCACCATTCAACCCAGCACACTTATAATTCATCCGACACACTCATTGAGAAAAACATTTGAAACACTCACTCTAGGGGTACGAACGGGTCCCACATACCCCTACATCCATCCCGTATAATATACATTTTACACCAACTGATTTCCAACGATAAGTCCCACAGTCACTCCTCTATGGGGTATCCGTTGACTCGGCAACAACACCAAACTTATCCAGAATTATAGACTTATCTAGAGTATCAGTTTCTTAACCAACATTCTCATCCTGCGAATTTAGGTTTAAACCACAGGCAACACGTGCATCCCGCATAGTCTATAGTGATGTTTTTACATCTAGGAAGTTAAGCAACGGGGCAGCAATGGTCAGAGATTAGATAGCTCGAGTACTTGAGCAAAGGATGTCTGTTGGTTTCATTGCGTTGTCTATTTTGTTTTTGTTTTTTGTGTATTTCGTTTCGTATGTTTGGATGTCTGTTGGTTTTTTTGTGTGTTTATTTCGTTTAGCGTTGTTGTTGTTTGTTTTTCTATTGCTATAATAATGATATAAACGGGAAAATGAAATAAATTAAAATTTTATAGAATTGATATTTTTAAATACACTGTGGTGAAGGGTATATAAGATTCGGCACAGCCGAATATAGCACTCTTACTTGTTTTACTACAATTTATTATAAATAACAACGAAACTGCCTTATATTAAATTACTTCTAAAATTAGCTTTTTAAACTAGTATATTTCGTTCCTTACAATGTACTTCAACACTTTTTGGATAATTTTATTATTGGGTAATCTCCTCTGTATCATGGGTGATTGCCCAACTGATTGCCTTGATATACTGGAGCCAGTTTGTGGATTTATTGTAAATGATCAAGGTGAACATTTGTCATGTTCATTCGAAAGTGATTGTCAGTTGGAAAAGTACACGTGTAATACAAATCAACGTATGTAAATTGAAAAATTATATGTATATTATGTATATATGTACTAGGGTGATCGATTATTCGACATTTTCCAAAAACCGGTTTTCGAATAGTTCGAATAGCTGACATTTAAAAAAAAACGGTTGATATTTTTCAAATTCAGAAAAAACCGGTTAACCGGTTTTTTTATAAATAAAAAAAAAATATATTTTAATTTGAAAAACTTAATGTTCATGTTTAAATTTGATTAGTAAAACATGACCCGAAATGATTTTTAACAGTTTAAAAGATTATAACTTTAGATCTAGTCGTCTGATTTACATTATTTCTATAATATAAAAAAATTAGGAAAAAAGTAGGACACTTCTGTTATACATAAGGTACTATGTAATCCTAGCTTATTTTAAAAGCCCTGTTTAGGAAATCCGCATAGGCATTCCAACACTTCCATAAAATTTCAGCCGTAAATTAATTATTGTAATTGGAATATAATCTTAAGATTGATAAAATTTTATCAAACAGTTATCAGTTTTACAAATTATTTTTTTTTTAATTAATTAGGAAAATCAAAAAAGTTTAACGCTAGTTCCTCGACTCGAATATTTTTAAAATTTAGACGGGCTGTATTATTATTAACTTAAAAATTTCATTTAAATAATCTTTGAATACAAAGCAAATAAAAGTATTCGAAACCGGTTTTTAAAAAATGAAAAAACCGGGTTATTCGATATTCGAAAAATCAACATTAAGAAAAAACCGACACTGGTAAAGCAGAAAAAACCGGCTTTAAAACCGGTTGAAAAATCGTGTCGATCACCCTAATATGTACGTATAAATATTTAATATTTTGTTAATTGATTTACTTTTTTATTAAAGCTATATCTAAAATGGATAATCCTTGTGAAGAAGAATCTGAAGGATGTTCTGACCTTCCTATTAATGAATAAATATTATACAGTATTTCAGAAATAATTGCACAATATTCTAGAGTTAGACAGAATACCAGAAACTTTAAATGATTATTTTTAAAGTCATAATAAAATTTATTGTAAATTTTTTATGGTTATTTAACACATTGACACCTAAATGGTTCGATTACTTACCAACAGTTCAATTAATCTGGATCTTTTGTTTAAAAAAAATAAACTTAACAATTTACAATTATTACATTATATTTGCACAAGTGTTTTAATAACTGTAAAACATTTATATTTTATAAATTAATTAACAAAACAAATTATAATTACCTCATTGTCAAAAATCCTATAAAATCAGATGGTATCAGTCCATAAAAGATTATTTGAAAACGAATTTTGAACTAAATTTTAAATATTTAAATCATTGAAATGCATCTCGCTATAGTTTTAACGATTCTCTCCTTGGGTTTATTCTGCTGCATAATGGGTGCTGAGGGAACACGTTGCAATCGTGCTTGTACGCGTGAATACAATCCTGTCTGTGGGGTCCTACAAAGACCTGGTAGAAGGGTACAATGTACTTTCTCAAATCCTTGTACAATGAGAGTACGCAGCTGCGTAGCAAATGAACGTAAGTTGGGGGAACCTTTTTCTAGAGTTACAAGATAAATTTAGTTTTTTTTTTTTTTCGTTTTTTATATATTATAGGATGGGTTGGAAGATCTGGAATTTGCGCAATAAATTCACCTGAATGTGATAAAATCAGAAGATCATAAACATGTAAAAACCTGTGAATAATAGTTAATTTTTTTAAGAAAAATTATATCATTATAAAATAACGAAATGTGATATTGTCCATTTAAAATTGTATTTATTTTTTTGGAAAAATAATTCAAACCTTTTGTTAAATTTTAAAATGTTTCTTAATTCTATAAAGAAAATTATTTCGCCGCAGCCACAAGTTTAACTCTAGACATTTCAGAGAAAATTTATCTTCATAAAATATGTAGCAATTTATTTAAAAGCTAAATATATCTTAATACCATTTTCAATAGGCTTCGTCCATGGACACACAAAACTGACGGACGGAAAGACAGACAGAAGTACGGACGGACAGACAAATGGACATATCTAAATCGGCTCGACCCTCCCCACTATAATGGTATAGAGTATAATAAGGTAGATATCCCTCCTTGACCTGTAGATTCGACATACTAGAATCTAATAGTTCTTTAACTGTTGAGTGGAAGGACCTCTCCACTCGTCAGATATAGTATTGTACAGTATTAGATCCAGCCTGTAGCCAGGAGGTCAAGTTTAGACCCATATACCTAACCAAGGTTGGATATGAGGTAACTGCTAGAAGTGATTTACGTTAACTCCTGACATATTTCCCGGTGGTACTTTTTAAACCACAGTGTGTGCTGATTAGATGACTCACTATCGCCCCTTTTTGTATTTTACATGCCGGTAGCCATTTTTGTACATGGTACTTCCGGTCCATGTACAAGCACTTTGCTCAAGTTCTCGAGCTACCTAATCTCTGACTATTGCTGCTTAACTTCCGAGATGCAAAAACATCACTTCTATTTACAAACACGTAGATGGTATACCTCTGTTAAGTTGCCAACAGCACTAGTAGACTAGTAGTTGGCAATAGCACTAGTAGACTAGTAGATCGAAACACACCGAGGACTTGTTTTTACTAATACTGGTATGAACAGAGTAAACCCTGAACATATCCGCACAAAGATTAAAATTCAATGGTATTACTTGTATAAGATACCTCACATCCATCACCATTCAACCCAGCACACTTCTCATTCATCCGACACACTCACTCTAGGTATATGGGTGTGTATTAACACCATCTCATTTCCAACGCCTACTCCCACAGTCTCTCATCTTATCCAAATTTGTAGACTTTACCATGCATCAGTCTTTTAACAGACAGACTAAAGGTACTGGTAGCTCCTCGTTTTCCGAGATTGCAACAACAACGCGCCCCCGCTGGGACTGCTAAGAGCAGAACATTCGCAGAGAAGATGCAAGACCATCTCTTCATTTTGTCTCTCTTCGCAACTGCTACGGTACATGTCCACTTTGCACTCAGTGTCCTGTTATTACTGATATTAAGCTCAACATATCCCGCCTATTTGGGGTTATTTTTATAAGGCAGACTTTTAAAGAAAGAATCTGAAGATACTGCCTATTCTGGCTCATCTGCCTGTTTATTTCCATAATAATGTCATACAGGCGACCCAGAATTAACAGATCTTTCTTTCATTGTCTGAATAATGGGGAGGTGGCAGTATAAGAATTTAGTGAAAGAGTTGCCACTTGGCTATCGAAAAAACTCTTATGTTGCCCAGAACATTGAGCCTGAAAAACACTACCGTTGTCTGGATGATAGTGAGAGATACATATCCTAGCTTCTTCACAGAAGATTCCAGAAACAATAACACAATTAATTTTAAAATCATTTGTAAAGATTCTAATGGTATATTCGTTCAGTAATTTACCTCTACACTTGAAAGATGTACCACGCCCACTATCTTGAGTTCGCCCATTTCTTTCCAACTGTTTACATGGATGTAAAAGTTGTTCTTGCAACATTTTAGGATTTTAGCTGTAATAGTTTCACAAATATTTGAATTCCACTACCTAGTCCACCCATTGTTTTTTCCAAATGGTCATATTGATGATAAATATGTCCATACAAAATTTTAAGTTTCGACTGGTTAAAATTTCGACATAAAAAGTAGCATATAGTCCATTTTACAAAAACAAGAATACTTATAGTTTGTCTAGCAAATTCTAATTCAGAAAGTGATCATATTCATCATATACAAATTTTCAGAATGTCTGACCCTCTAACAAATTCTTGTAAATCAATTTATTTATTTATTAACAAAATAATTTAATATATGTAGGTAAGTACACTTCTAAATAACTTTTAACCTCTAACTTGTCTCTCGCAATCCACAGTATTTTGGGGACAAGCTCCAGGGGATTCAACCCAGGCTAAAAATAAAGTATATTATTATAAACTTTATATACATATAAATATTTCCTTTAATTTTTCAACTTACGTTCTCCCATCCGACATTTGTGCAAACGAAACAAACATGGATTTGCAAAAGTACATTGCTGTGTTATACCACTAGGTCTTTCATATCGGCCACAAACGGGATTTAATTCCTTGGTACATGCCGGATTACAAGCGGGTCCCGACTCTGTATTAACGATACACAAAAATAAAGCGCTTGAAAATATTAGAAAAACACAAGTTAATTTCATAGTTTTCAATTTCTTCTTAAACTCAACTTTAGAACTATTTGCTATTTTATTAATAAATCAATATTTATACAGAATTTAAACAATTTCTGTAAAGATTTTTTAAGTATTTAGTTAATTTATTTAACATGAATAGAGAGTTAATTAAAAAAAACAGTTGTATAAATATGAACTTATTTCTCTAGTTAGACTGAATGAATATTTATTGTATTTTGTGAAAATAAATATAAATCTATCTCAGGTGTTCAAAAGAAATTAAAAATGTGGTTTACCATTTTGTTAAAATTCCCCTTAAGTTATATGATAATAAATAACAAATTATGTACTTGCATTAAATAAGTAAATTTCAATATTACCTGACATCAATTATTCTCTTTAAAGTTTATATTTGAGGTTTAGAAATATTTTAAATAAATCATAAAATTTTAAAATGTTTGTTTATAAATTAGCTTAAATATTAAAACTTAATTAATTAATACGATTACCATTTAGTAGATCTTAATTAGCAAATTTTTTTTTTTATTTTCAGATTTAAAAAAACGTGCATTGTAAAAGGTAATAATTCTTTAATTTTTACAAACTATATGTCAACTTGGTATTAAATTTCCTATAGGCGTATTTCTTATTTATCTTTCAACAATTTTTTAAAAAATTTTCAAAAAATTAAAATTTTTTTGGAAACAGTGAAGAAATAGCTATCTGAACTCTTTTGGATAATATTTGCCAGGACCATTGGGTGAAAAGTTACACTCATTTGAATAAAACCCTGTATGACCAAAATGTCCAACTTTGACCCCCTCTAACTCCGGCAGTTCTTGGCCGATAAAGCTGAAAATTTGTGTCTGACCTACAATCCAATAGTACTAACCTTGGTGCAAATTTTTTGAGTTGGGTCACTTGACACAAAATTGTCCATATGTATAGTATATTCTAAGTCCGTCTGTCATTCTGTCAGTCCGTACATATCTATGTTGAAATCTGTTTTCTGAAGATATCTTAAACTTCAATAACTTTATTAGACATTTTTTCGAGAAGTTTAAAATGAGCAAAATCGGTATTTAAGATTCAGCACAGTAAAATATAGCACTCTTACTTGTTCATATTACATTCAATATTAGTCCATACATTAGTCAATGGGGTATTCCGTAGACTTGTCTATTAGGGTTGGTCGAAAAAATAGTGAAATTATGTTGTATTTTAACGTCAAATGGAAGACTGTAAAATATTATTCAATTATTTTGAGGGTAAGAGCCCGCGCATCACCGCCAAAGTTTGTAAATGCGTTTATATGGGAAAAATGGCACTTTTTGGAGTTTTTCACAAAATGAGGCTTTAAGTATTAATTATTGCACAATTTTATAGCAAAATCGTAATGTCTACAAAATTGTCTTTCCAATAAGATGGAAAAACTCAAAATTGGTTAAAAAAGTTTTGAGTTATTAAAATTTCCCCCGAGAATTTTGTGATTCTGAAGACATATATAGAAGTAAATATAAGAAAATTTTAGTTAGTTTTGAAAAATTTTACAAAAAAATATTATGTTTCTCTTTATAAGGTTCATAAATGTGCTAGTACGAACTTTTGTTCAAATTGGATAACGCTTACTCGGTTTAGTCTGTGGTAAAAAAGGGCCATTATTTTAACAGCATCTCCAAAACTCCATTTTCAAACTTTAAAAAATTTTGTTAAATGGATTATTAAAAATTAAAGTTTTCTATACTGGATATATATAAGAATTAAACACAGAAAGAATGAGCTTAATACCTCTCATAGTTTTACCGTACCTGCGATGTGAATTTCAAGGATTTCGGGAAAAAGGCAATTTTTGAACATAAATCAGTAAAAATTTTATTATTACCAATTGTTGCTTAATTTTGATCAAGTAAATTTTGGAAAGACAATTTTGTAGACATTACGATTTTGCTATAAAATTGTGCAATTATTAATACTTAAAGCCTCATTTTGTGAAAAAACTCCAAAAAGTGCCATTTTTCCCATATAAACGCATTTACAAACTTTGGCGGCGATGCGCGGGCTCTTACCCTCAAAATAATTGAATAATATTTTACAGTCTTCCATTTGACGTTAAAATACAACATCATTTCACTATTAGAAGTTGATCCGAGTGAAAAGCCTATTTTCGACCCACCCTATTGTCCATGTAGAAGACTATAAACTAGACCACTCAATAGACTAGTTAATAGAATGATCAGCCAACTAGTCAAAAGACCAAGCCAAAGGTTTGTTAATAGACTAGTCCACAGAAAATTCATTTCACTTGTGAATAGTCAACCGACTATGTAGTCCCTCGGGTAGTCAATAGATCAGTCTTGTCACTATTACAGGCTTGTGGTGTAATGTTTACACTATATAATCAATACAATAATTAATTACAATTATTTGTAATTATTGTAATGTAATTGAAGTTACAATTATCTGTAATTGTATTTGAATTAATTAAGGTGTTACTTATTACAATTACATGAAATTATAAGGGAACAAAATTCAAGTATGTAATTGTAATTGGAAAAGCTTTAATTACATGAAATTATATTTATATTCCTCAATTACATATTACATATAATTGTTATTGATAAAGCTAGCTTTGGATGTTAGAAAAATCAGAACAACCACATAATACCCTACGCACTATAGTGGTGTAGGGTGTAAATAAAAAAGATTTATTACAATTTAAAGAACTCTAAGTAAAAAAAACTCAGTCACCAGGCATCCAAAAGTTGCGGACGAGGTGTAACTTTTTTTGCAAAAACATTCATGCAAACATATGGTAAATGCAACAGCATCCGATGGAATGTACATATCGCTCATTTACTACAAGACTGGCATAATCCAAAAAAGTCTTTTCGAGAAAAATTACTTAGAATATTTACTGAAATTTTAGTATTTTTTAAATAACTTTTAAACAAAACAAGTAATAAACCAGATTCTGAGAGTAGAGGTTAATATTTTTCAGTTTTGCTTACTAAAATGTTTACTTCTTTACACTTACGCTTATTTAACTATACTTTTACAATGTGTGGGTATGTTTGTACAAACTAAAATCTTGTGCAATATATTTTTATGTATTTTCCGTAGTTTGGTATCATTTGTTTATATTAAACATATAAAATTAAATACATATATTTTAGTTTTTAATAGAGTCCAATGAAAAACCAAAAAAAATAAGAAACATGTTACGTATACGCAGTACGGACCACATTAAAAATGAAACACAAACTCTGAATTGGAGTTTAAAAAATGACAGTGTTGGTTGGTATAGCATGGTTAGTTCAGATCCTTTCTAGCTTTAAACCAAAAATGAAAAAACACACTAAAAATAAACATTGTTGTAAGTAGTGATTTGATAGTTTGTCTCAATTAAAAATAAAACAAAAAAACACAAACTCTGTGTGTAACAAATTTAATTTTTTATGCAATTATTTTATATGGTTGAGTTTTTTTTTTTGTTTCTTGTAACACACTCACTCTTTTTTTAAGAAATTTGTATATGCATATTATTATATATGACGCTCTAAACATTTCCATTTAAAATAGTAAAACAATTTATAGGTCTTTAAAGAGTTTTGAATTCATCAGAAAAAAGCTTAACTTATTATATCCTACACCACTTAATTGAGGTATATTGAGTTTATGCTGATATACATATAGTATGTAACGTATAGAAATAATGGATCTACACCCACCTTAAAGTATGACAATCGGCTCAGAATCACTTTCTGAATCCTCGGTCCGTCCGTACAGGTCATAATTTTCAAGATAATTTGAAATAGACGCAACTTAGTCTTGTATAAGCTTAAGTGCTACTGTTCATTTTTTATCGGACTTTATTTGACCCTAGCCTCCATACAAAGTTCTTTGTCTTGAAATTGGCTTGATCGTCCATAATTTACTTTAAACATTAATATAACAATAAAATTCTGCATAAATAACTTTAATATAGATATAAATCCTGCCTCCTTAATTTATGAGGATTAGCCCATATTTAAATCGGGTATTTTTTTTAAATCCCCAAAAATCCATTTATGATTTGAATAAGATGAAGTTTAAAATATAACTACTCCTAGAGAAGATCTACAGATATTTAGGTTTAATTATTATTCTCAAATTTTCCTGTTCTTTTTGTAGTTTTTTAAATGTGACGCCCCTACGGAGGGTCGTAATTTTTTTTTTAAATATCTTCAGGTTTTCTGATATAATTCTATATAAAACAAACAACTTGTAAATCGTTATCTTGTTCCCTTTAAAAAGTTAGAAGCATAGAAAGTTGCGACATGTATTAAGGTCCTAATTTTTAGGTTATTTTCCCTAAAAAGCCCCTATATTCTTTCCTTTACAGAAACAAATTTTTCTAAGTGACTATATGGAAATTTTATATGATCCGGAAAGAGAACTTAATGCTTAAGCGAGTTAAATAAAATGTGGCTCATATAATCGGGCAATTCCCCCATTTTGAAAAATTTTATTTGAGTAAAATATTCTAAAAACGCAAAGCACTGATCCTATATTTATATATCCCTATATGGTCCTTAAATATATCTGAAGTCTTTTTACTATAACACGGTAAATAACGTCGCAGTGGGCATTTTTATAAAAAAAAACTATTTTTTTGGAAAAAATTATTAACCTTTTGAGAATTTTGGTATTCCTATATAGAAAATGAGAAAACTGGTAACGGTGTTATTTTAAAAGGATTTGGATATATGTATGTATATGTGTCCAAAATTTTGTTCCGATAACTTTTCCGTTTAAACTTTTAAAAAAAATTATTTATTATGAGTTTTAAACTTGTGCGTAAATTATGTTCTAATAAAACATCCGTTATATTATACATACATATGTATATCTATTAAAGTTTAATCCCTCGATATGTCCGGTCTATTATGGAGGGCCACATTCGGACTCATCTTTGCCTTCTCATTGCAATTGTAGTCTTTATGCGCTAGAACCCAAACGAACTAGATTATTCTCTCCATTATCTATAGATTTTAGATAAATTCAGTGAAGATTTT